AATGGATTTCATTAGTTTGGAAAAAAAGCTTGGACACAATAGTTTGGATGCTTGGTTAAAATGAGTTTTTTGGCAATAGTGTATAAATAGGCATCGTTACAGCAGTGAAAACTCTAACCCTTTTTATGAATTATATGTTTTCCGCTAATCTTTTGCCCTCGGCACCCTGCGCAAAACGACAAAATGAAGCTCCATTCTGTTGACATGGGTTCTATTGCGGTAGAGGAGATAGAAAGGCAAGGTTACTGCATTCACTAAGTGGAGGATCTACGAGGCCAGCATAATTTCAGTTGGATAATGTATACCGGCCAGCTCGGTACATGAGCTTCTCGTGGAAACAGTGTCAATCCAATAATGCTCGAAAAGTCAAAATATGATTAGAATTAAATTATAGTAATAATAATAATTATAATGATAAATAAAATAGCTTCTCTTAATTTATTATAAGGATTATTAAAAATTTCAAGTAAAATTCGAGCAGTAAAACGTGAACCCATCATGTCGGTGTTTTGAATTATCATTCTTTTTGACTGAATCAGAAACCCTTTCGACTTCAGACAAAGATTTGATCTTTACTGCCCCCGTGACAAAGAGAAAACATTATGATATGGCAAAAACAGTCAATATTTGTATACTAGTATAAAACTTCTAAAAGACAGTCTAATTACCGCTGTCAAACAGCCATAGTCTGTAATCATAAATTTTATTTCAGCTTCCGTTTATAATTGGCTCAGTAAAGCATTTATTTCGGTAATCCCTTCAATATGGCACTGATGGCTTTCAACACCTCGATATGCACATTGTGTCAAGTAGGGGTGGGTGGGTAGCAGGGTGTACAGTCTTACTAGCGCAAGGTAATAAAGCGAATAAAAAGAGCAACAAAAGGAGCACATGTGTTCCATGTTATATACATCAATACATGGAAACTCTTCATCGGTGCCCAAACTATTTAAATATGCCGATGGCCTTGCAGTGGCCTTAAGATTGTATTCAAAATAAAAAGAAACCATGCTATATTTTGAAATTTAGCAACGTTCACATTTTCCCCTTTATTACCGTTAAAATCAACGCATTGTTATCAAAGCATCTAATTTACAGAAGCAGGTTTAATTTTCATCTCGGTGCGATCCAAGAAAAGCCATTTGTTTCCGGTGAACCATTCCATCCAACCGTTCAGATCTGCCAGACGACAGTCGTGATACCACCATCCACCATAGATGTCGCCACAAAAACCGAAACTTTTGTCGTTGTCTTTATCCTTGGTGCTGAAAGGAAGGCCGTTGTGAGTTCCGAGTCCGTCCCCTGCGTTGCCTGAGTACCCGTAGACGTGTAGAGTATAAAGATTGGCTTCGTCATCGATATTGAATGCTTCGTACTCCGCGATATAATTCTTTTTGTCATTGCTAACAACAAAAGGTATTACAAATTAGAAGTGTATAATTTTTCCTGTGACTGTAAGATTTTTTTAAAGAATGACACTATTATTAGCTTACCAGCAACTACTGATAAAACAAAAAGGACCTAATATAAATGATAGAAGGGCCTGTAATAGCACAAAAGTTACTTAATATATTACCCAATTCACCAACGTATGTACCCCCAAACAATACAATGACACTTACAAAGTTTCAACCTGGACCATCAGTTTGTATGCTTTGTTCTTCGTCAGAGAGTGGATGTTCTCATTTCCAAGCCAGAAATTACCACGAAGATCGCCAAAGCCATCTTTATAGTCATTCCAATCTGGAGTGAATAAATGAATTAACAAATGTATAGATTCAAGAAGCAGATTTACTTTAACGAATAAGAATCATTATTCAAGAATAATACTAAGTTTCTTTGATTCACACTTTCAAAATAATGACGGAAGGAATGCTCATATCTTTGACAGATGAAGGTATCACAATATAAGTCAGTGACTCTAAATATGCACTGATTCTCATGCATTTAGCCGTGAAATGTTATTACAATAATGATACTTTTACTCTGTTCCGTAATATCCAACCAATGAAAGTTTTACTTTTCTGTAAAGTATGAAATTGCAAAGAAATCCTAACATGTCTTGTATTGACCAAATTATTCCAAGTTTAGTGCCACACTAGCGTGGCACTTTGGAATTCACCATGTTCAATGAATACAGAAAAAAAAATTCGACACAGAGAAAACTTAACTGATTGGTATCTTATCCCTACCTCTATCGAAGTTGACAGGGTAATGGTTTCTGTAGCCCGATCTCCGCTGAAGATAAGTCCACCCGTCCTCACAGTAAACCATCAACGATGCTGGGGGTTTTGACTTTGTGACGTCAGAGCCAGGATACACGGTATAAACACCAGGTGTGGTGTTACCCGTCTTGAACACATCATAGCAATCTGAAGTCATAAATCGTATTACGTTACTGTGTTGTATGACGTCACGGTCATTGCATATTGCAAGTGCAGGACGAAATGCTTTGGATTGACCCTTTATATATTCTCAAATTAAAGAGCCTAGCTACATGTAGTGTGACATAGATCTTCAGCGTGGAATTTATAGGCCCTACGGTAAATATGAATTGACTAGAATCTAAAACGAATGCATTTGCAAATGGATAAATCGTATGCAAAATAAAAAATAAATAAAGTAGTAAATTAATAAAAAAAAAATAAATAAATAAATAAAATATGAAAATGTTTATGGCTCAACAGCTAAAATCAACAATTGACAAAAATACTAGCAATCATATTTCTGCACATGATTTGATTCATTTTTTCCTTTCTGTCTGCACTTGCAAAAAGTGACAATATGATCAAATGTTTCATGTTACATATATTTCAAAGGAATAACACAGGTGTTTTATACCGTCATTCCAATGTCTCACCTTGAGGTGATGTTGTGAGTGGTTCCTCTGGCACGTCCCCAACTCTTACATAGACCGTGGCTGTGCTGTTCCAACCGTATTGGTCCTGTGAAGAACGTTGAGACACATTGTTTAGGGATAAGAAATAGACAAGTGAGCAAATTAGATTTTGATTACCCTTTCCTTTAACGATTTCACGTCTTCAGTATTGGGTATAGCTTCAACTAGTAATAACCACACCTGGGATAAGCCTCATTGCCTATGGTACCGCCACTGCGCAAAGCTCAACGATCAACGACAACTTTATATTTATCAGTCATAATCATAATCACATGTAATTTTTATTTCATATTTTCTAGATTCCGTTTCTAGACGTGTTTGTAATCTCTTAAGGAGATTTCAAATACCAATGATCTTTTCCAACTTAAAAGAAAGAATCTGAGGTTCACAAGTAATAGTAAGATTCACAAATTGTTTGCACCCCACCCCTATCAGCTTAAGTGACTTTTAAATATTTAAATATTTTGAATATGGCTTTTGGGTCACTGCCTGCCATAGAATATAGCCAATCATTGAGCCAGATATAGCTTAACAAAAGACTCTTTATCTTTAATGATAAACAAGAGCTCCAGATGACCTCCCTTCAACGCAAAGCATTAATATTAAATCATTACCCTAGCCATAACATTCAAAGTGTGTTGTGCATTCGTTTCAAAATCCAACGGAGCTGTAAGTGTAATATTCCCTGTTGTTTGATCAATCCTAAAGTTACCGACGTTCTGCGAGATGGAACCTGAATCCTGAAACGAGCAAAGAAGAAATATGCAAAACCTGCTTTAGGGAGGTAAATCTACAAGAGGCCAAAAGGTTTTAATCCAAACTTCAGCAAAACTCGGGCTGAATGGCACTAATGGCCCAGCCTATTATTAAAAAGTAAAACTGACCTTGCACGGTAAAAAGTAGATCAATAATAAAGTTTAAGTATAAATAAAATTAAAGAGACACTTATTATAGGATGATGTTGAAATACTAATACATGTAGCTTTGTAAACGGTTTATTCGATATCTTTTGACAAGTATGCAATAATCCCCTATGCCAGAGTCATCGTTTTCTTCGATAATGTCGAATGTCCCGAGAGAAGAGGTGGAGTAGAGGATTTCCTAGATGTGTTCACAGTTGGCCGGTGTGGTAAAAGATAAAAGACACAAATGTTGGAACAGTGTTTTACCTTTGAGTAGAAATAGTATGTTGGTGGGCCATAATCTGGGTCCGTCGCTTCCACTGTGAGGATTTTGGCCCCCACCGGAGTGCTCTAAAGCAGAATACAAAGACCTGATGTATCAATTCACACATGAAATATAATTAGGGGAAATGTATCGCTATATTGTAACATAAAGGTATAAAAACATAATATTTGGCACTTTGGTTGAATGGGGTGCTCTAAAATCATACGACCATCCTTTTCATAAATGGCACGATAATTATGACAGATGGCTATCTATATAGCTACAGATGTACTGTATTGTTTTTCTCTTCCTTATACTAGCTGATTCATATAATTTTCTATATAGCATGTGATAATATGTATAACCCACAGATATTTTAATTCCATGCTTACTTCCAGAACATCTGCAATGTAACGAGCCTTGTTGAAGAGAGGTGCGTTGTCGTTTACGTTGACGACATATACAGTGACAGTTCTGGTTAGCTGCAACAAGATAACATAATATTCAACAACGAAACATACTTGACAAGTGGATACTGGCTTTGTGAATGTGGATGAAAGCTAATTTTGTCAATAAAACGGGTTTAAAAATTAAATGTATTGTTTAATAAACGGCACGATCGCCAGTCGTTTCTCCGGATCAGTAAAAGGAAATTATGAATGGTGATGTAAATCTAAAACTGGTGATCTTCTTTCAGAAATCAGTCAAGTATACCCAATGTGTTTATACGCTGATCGCTGCAAAGTTGTTTAATGATCGTCATCATAGCTGTTTTTTTATTTACAACAAAATACATTGAGAAAAAAACAAAGGTCGTTACAATCATCAACGTATACCACTGACCGTATTAACGCCATCAGATACAGTGAACCCAACATCAAACATTGTGACTGTCTGAAATGTATCAAAATATTGTGAAACTTAAAATCTTATTGGCAGATCTGTTGGTACTACATAAACATATGCATCCAAGTTCATGTTGAAAATTAAATAAAATAGATACTGTGGATGTGCTAAAAGAAATACCAACGAGTCATTTAAATCTGTTTCTGGTGAAAGACAGATACCGGTAATAACTGTGTGTTTTTTTAATTGCATGGTCATTTTATTGTGTAACTCAAATATTTCCAATTATTGCAGTTGAGCCTGGATAACATAATGTTTCAGAAATTGATGCAAATTTTATTTTTCAAATAAAATGACTTACATTTTTGAAACATTGAAGTACGTTTAAAAAAAAACTGAATAGCAAATACTTCGCTCATAATACTATAGTACAATGTATATTGTGTTCGAACTTAGTTAAAAGGCACTGGTAACCAAAGGCCTCTTAACTTAATTTCATTTTATGGGCACTAACCTCATAATTTAGTTGAGAGTTTAACGTGATGTTTGCCTCAGCGCTGCCGGGGTTGTTAGAGACCTGGACGAGGTTGAATGCAGATCCACTGGCTGAAACACTGAACGAAAGGCTGTTTCCGTCTGAGTCGGTAGCCCTTAGTGTCCCAACAACAAACCCTGCACAAGAAAGAAAACATTGGTTTTGATTTGCCACTTTTTATATGGTCATGTCATAAGAAAAATGTGCATAAAACACGCTGCTCTTTGGAAAAATGGGCAAATCGGACAGTTAATATGATGGGACATGTACATTCAAACATATGTTGAGATACGATAGGCCGATACATGTAAAACATGTTTTCCCAAAGAGTACTAGTATCATAATTTTATAGCTGTTTTCAACATGGAGAATTGAATTATCGGTTTGCATTACCTATCGGACGATCCTCCTTAATCACAAGTATAGGTGGCGCTACGAACTGAGGCGGGCTGTTCCCATTGGCTGAAATAGTGCAATAATTTATTAAGATACATTGGCACCTAGTTTACTTTCACAAAACGCATTTTAATAACGACACCCTACATTGTCCTACCCACCCTTTCTTTTCGCTATTTGTTCATTTTGGACAGTGCATCCAGTGGCGTTTTCTGGCTCATATATACCTCAAATTTCGTTTTTCTCCTTTTCGCCTGTGTCTATACAGCAACAATCACATTCCCATATGTGATCTGGGATAAGGATGTTTTGCAGAAAATTGGGATATTGAACAGCCTGAATGTACGTCACATAGGCTATCAACACCAAAATCCACTGTACATTGACACCAAATATTTGGTCGCTGTGCCTTTAAGGCGAAATCTTTATTCATGTAATCTTTAACAAATACCACAGCTTATATTCAATGGATTACCTCTTACATGTACAATACCATTTGTTTATTGCAACCCGAACATACTTAACGTATGCAAAATAATATGAATATTAAATATTTAAGGCAACATATACTAGTAGTATGCTTGATATATGACTGCATTTACACAAATAAGCGGACAAAAATATAAAAAAATACAGTTTGGTGCCACGAAGTACAAGTATGCCCATATAATCGAATTAAAGCACAACCTATTGAGAATCAATAATAAATAATATTTTTTGCACCGTATTGCTCCCTGTTCTATCTTTAAAAAATCAAACTTCAAAGTTGGGTGATTTTTTTCTAATAACCAAAACATACCAATATCGAATGATACACACAACACAGATGCCTGGAATCACTAAATATCTGTAAGCCATACATACCTTGAGCAGCGCAATAAAACAGCAGTACGATGGGAAAATAGTAGACCTTCATCTTCTTACGATGGCAGGACGCTAAAATACAAGTACTGCACTTAGCTTCTCACCGCTTGAAATGACCCCCATATTACGTGGGAAGGTAGAGATAGCGAAGGAAGGGGTTATCTACAGGGGCCTATGTGGGTTATCTCTTGGAACTAGTACATGTATATCATGTGGGATTTAACACATGGTGATCGATATTACTTATATCATTATTATTATTATTATTATTATTGTTGTTGTTGTTGTTCTTGTTGTTGTGACGTCTTACTCGTTATACACCCTTGCTAATATGGTATAATTTAGTGTATTCTTGTATTTCACATTTGTAACTTGTCAATTTTCACAAACCCTTTGCTTTGCTCGTCCTTTGTGAACAACATCCAAATTTTTTAGTAAGTGGCTTTGGAACTTTATTGAGCAATGCGTAAAAGATGGAACATGGAATCTGCTGCAGGAGTCTAAATCTGAAGATTAGATACCTCCGCCTTAAAGAATAATTTGTCAAAACATGCATTTTTCTTGATGTGATCCAACTGCAATAATAGAATTTATGTTCAGTAGGAACCTTTTATTTCAGTGCGAGTGAATATGCTTCTTAAGGATGATATAATTACTGTGTTATGTGCTTGGAGATTTGAAAGATTTATCATCTTCAGTTTATATGCGTACGGCACAGTAGGAACCTTTTATTTAAGTGCGAGTGAATATGCTTCTTAAGGATAATATAATTACTGTGTTATGTGCTTGGAGATTTGAAAGATTTATCATCTTCCAATTATATACGTAGGGCACAGCAGCGTCACCTAGCCGGCCCCAGAACTAGGTGCAAGTGTTTATATTACATGATTGATGTACCTGAGGTGTGCCGTCACCTGTCACGGTGGCAGAGAGCGGTGTCACGATAAGATAATACATTACAGCGAACATAGAACTCTTCCAAGAAAAGCTTCTAAATAAGTAGAAGATTATAAATACACCGTGTAACCACAGCCAGCTTGCTGCTTCACGACGCTGATTTATACGAACTGCAGTATTCACAGTGTTGCCTACCCATGCGGCAATAAGTTAATAAGTAAAACAAGTGTATTTAAATAATAATTGTTGTAATTATTATTGTTTGTTGTATTTAGGATGTTATTACCAGTATTTGTCATTGTTTGTTTCGTTTAGAGAACAGTATTTTTGTATTGTATAAGTTTTGAGAGTATACTACCAGTGACACATTGTAACGGGTCAATGATTTACGGAGTAATGTGCAGATCATACTGGGGTGGAGACCACTCGTGATTTGTCAGCAGACGCGCATGGGGGCTAGCCCATCGTATGATTTTGTCAGCAGATACGCATGGGGGCAAGCCCATCGTATATGTATACATTTTTTTGTGAACATCAGGATTATCTCCAAGTTTATGTAGCTGCAATTCGAGTAAGTTATTATTATTTAAATATTTATTTTGTTCAATATAGAATCATAAGTTGTGCCTTTACTTTGCTCATGTTCACTATTAATTGTACTCCATTGTTAGTATTATCATTTTTATTTTTATTCATTGCGTTTTATTTTCATTATTGTTTAGTTTCACCATACACCATACGCCATACACCATACACCGTACACTGTTACTTGTCTTAACTGTACGTATGATGTGAAATAAAGGCTACCAAAAAAAAAATGAGATATGAATCCTGAGTTGTTCAACACACAGAAAAGAAATTTATGAAATACCCGTAAGTCGAAGGATATAAGAAAGAAAAAAGTTAAAACCGACCATTTTATGGTTTGGTGTGATGCTGAATACTATGTGAAAGAAACTGTGTTCCTATATCTAGTTTTAATTTCCGGTTGTTCATCGACATTCTACGTTAGTGATGGTTACGATGGCCTGTAGCGTACCTCTTGCAATAATTTAGAAAAGAAAAAAACATTATTTTTCTTCAATCAACAGCACTGGGTCAGAGCAATTTATCTTAAACCTGTTCTGTGTAGCAAAATTGGTCGTATACGTATATATATACAAGCTTCGATGTTGTCTTGACACATAATATGTTTTGAAATATACAAAGACAAGTATCAGCATCTTGGTTGTTTTTATTGATTGTTTCGTTCCCAGAATACCTTAGCTGTTCTCATACATACACTTTGCACAGAGTGGAGGGGGTAAGTATTAAGACAACTTTCCTTGTGATCTTCACTGATCTTGAAGATAAAAATGAGATGCTAAGCTGCGCCTAATTTTTACCAGGCTATTTAGCGCGAGTCATGTCATCACGTACCCATCATACATCTTGCTGCAGGTGTACATAACGTTAATACCAACCAATTGTGTCGCTTTGCATGCGTCGCGCCGTTGAAAATTACCTGAGGGAATCGTGCGTAAAGAGAAAGCATAAAGACGTTCATTGTGTTACTCTTTTACTGATATTGTTATTGCCATGATCACAAGGTACTAAGGTTTAAACTTTATTTAAATTTTCAACAAACCGTCTCGTTTGCAGTATACGGGAGATGCAATGTCAGCCAGCGCCCCATATCCTGAGTTTTGGGTCCGCAAAATGCGCTCATTTTTGTATTGTTCGACCACGACTTGGACGGCGTTGTCCAGAAGGAAGATTATGTGGACCTTTGCGAGTCCAGAGCTAAGTGTCTCCTCAAACAAGAACAAATGGAAACGTTTGTGGACCAAATGAACTACGCTTGGACTTATTTCTGGGCAGGTCCGGAGAAGAAAGTGAATGTAACTCTTTCGGACTGTGTCCACAACCACGCTCGCACTTTTCGCGAACCAGCTTTTCAAGAAGAGCAGAGAAAGTGGTTCCATGTCTATTTCGACACAGTCGCAGACAAAGGTGGCCACGGTTATGTTTCCAGAAAAGAATATGAAGAGTTCCTGGGCCTTTTTGGCGTACATCCTCTATCCGTCTCTCCATCGTTTGAGGCCTTGGACACAGCTGGTGATGGTCAGATCAGCAAAGAAGAGTTCGCTAATGCCGGCATTGGTTTCTTCTGCTGCACTGCAGACACCCCGGCAAAGTTGTTTTGGGGTCCGTTCTTGGCTTAAATCCCCTGATCGTGTGGGAAGTGTTCATAATATGCTTTAACTATCGGAAAATCACGAGTTAGGACTTTTTTTGTTTAAAAGACGCTTTACATTTCAAGAAGACGTGTACCAACGCCTGCAGTACTGGCGACTGGATAATGAATTCATGCTTTGTTCATTTTGTTCATTTTTACCTTGTCAAAAACAGCTTTTTAAGCACGCTTTCACCTGCCTACGGAACTGTTGATTTGTTCAAAGGTTACATTCATTTGCGCACTGTATACTGGTGTCAAGATAGGATAATTAATTGCAGAGCACCAAAACCTCTTCCGAGTATATCTTTTAAATTAGTGGATGATTACAAATACCTCTTGTAAACAGCGCCAGCTTGCTGCTTCACGGCGCTGCCTTGTATGAACTGCTGTGTTCGCAATAAATAAAATTATAATAATCGAAGGATATAAGAAAGAAAAATGGCGAAACTGATCATTTTATGACTGGTGTGTTGTTGAATGCTATGTGGAAAAAACTGTATGCTCCTAAAACCAGTTTTAATATTCGGCTGTACATTACGATGGCTAGTAACGTACTTCTTGAAAAAAATATACAACAAATTTAAAGAGAGCATAATTTCAATCAACAGCCATTAAAGCAAAACGGATGAACATCTTTTCTGACCTAGGACAAACACATTTTGTTGGAACACAACTCCTCCATTTCTACAAGTATATACAGTGATATTGCATTTATTCTCAACTACTGGATTTAGGTGATTTAGATCAAGAGATAACATGATGTAACACGTTCTAAAGCACTACATGGCAGTTACATCCTTCATTTCATTCTTTATGATATCATGGCAATTATCTGGAATAAAACTCCCGATATTTTGGGTGCATTGACTCATTCTTTATGCATACTAAGTCACTTTGCAAATGTGCGGTGATGTGTGTGTGTGTGTGTGTGTGTGTGTGGGGGTTATATTTAGAAAAAAGAGACAGTTCCTCTTGTGATTAAAACTCACCTGGGAGAATCAGATGCTAAGCTATACCTCATTCCCACCAGGCTTTTTAACAAGTGTTGTGTTATTTAGGTTTCATCATGTCTTCATCGGATCATATGTCTTGTTACAGGTTACGTTACGGCCTACCATTGTTCTGTGACGCCTTGCATGTATATTGCTTTGAAAGTTGTCTGAGGGAGTCGTGCATAAACAAAATAACATAAAGACGTTCAGTGTGTTACTTTTCTGTTGCTGTTTTTATTGTAATAATCACTAGGTACCAAGGTAAAGATGCCTTTTTAAATTTAACAATGATCCGTCTAAGTCAGTATAAAAGATAAATCTACAATGTCAGCAAGCGCGCCATATCCCGAGTTCTGGGTCCGCAAAATGCGCTCAGTTTTTGTAATGTTCGACCACGACTTGGACGGCGTTGTCAAAAAGAATGATTTTGTGGACTTTTGCATCGCTAGAGCTAAGTGTCTCCTCAAACAAGAACAAATTGACACGTTTAAAGACCAAATCAACAACGCTTGGGATTATTTCTGGGCTGGGCCGGAGAAGAGAGTGAACGTAACTCTTAGGGACTGTATCTACAACCACGCGCGCACTTTTCGCGAACCAACTTTTCAAGAAGAGCAGAGAAAGTGGTTATATGTCTATTTCGACACAGTCGCAGACAAAAATGGCCACGGTTATATTACCAGAAAGGAATATGAAGAGTTCCTGGGCCTTTTTGGCGTACACCCTCTATCTGTCCCTCCGTCGTTTGAGGCCTTAGACACAGATGGTGATGGTCAGATCAGCAAAGAAGAGTTCGTGAATGCTGCCGTTGGTTTCTTCTGCTGCACTGCAGACACCCCGGCAAAGTTGTTTATGGGTCCGTTCTTGGCTTAAATCTCCCAATCATATGGAAACTGTATATAATGTGCATTATTTGTATTGCAATCACGATCTAGGACTTTCTTGTTTAAATGACGCTTTACATTTCAAGAAGACGCGCACCAAAGCCTGCAGTACTGATGACTGGATGATGGTGTGTTGTCAGTCACATCTGTATTCATGTTTTGTTCATTTTGTTCATTCTTACCTTTTCAAGGGCAGCTTCTCAAACAGGTTTTCACCTGCCCCGGAACTTTTAAATTGTTCAAAGTTTGCATTCGTTTGCGTACTGTATGCTGTATCAAGGTAGGATAATATAGCGCACCTTGACCTTTTCCGTGTATAGCTTTTGAATTAGTGGAGGATAAGAGATATCCCGTGTAACCACCTCCATCTTGCTGCTTCCTGACGCTGCTTTATATGAACTGCTGTCTTCAGAAAAAGTATAACAATTAAATGAATATAAGGAAATAAGACGGAAAATATTGTGAAACTGATCATTTTATGACTAGTGTGTTGCTGAATGCTATTTGGAAGAAACTGTATCTCCTAAAACCAATTTTAATATTTGGCGGTATAACGACATCACGATCGATTTGAAGAAAGCGGTATTTTTACTTCAAATAACTGCCAGTATTCAAGCCCAATGGATGAACTTCTTTCATGTCCTACAACAATTATATTTTGTTGGAATATAACTCTTGTATTTCTACAAGTATATACATTTATATTTCATTTATTCTCAGCTACTGCATTTTAGTGATTTCCAAAACATTCACGTGTGTATTTTGATCCTTTTGCATGTGGTATAAATTACTACATGGCAGTTACATCCTTAGTTTCAATTTTTTATATCATATGCCAATCATCTGGAATAAAACTGTCCCGACATTTTGGGTGCATTGACTCATCGTTTATGCATAATAGTTCATTGGAATTTCGTTCAGTATTACTTCATAACATTACAGATTAGTTGTCTTTGCAAGAACAATATTTGTCTCTGTTCCATCTCAAAGATTCCTATGGTGATCAAGTATTTGTATGGAAGTTTCATCTATGCCATCAACGTTTCCCCCCACTTGAGACGATTTTCTGGCATTCAGTATTAGTTTTTATTTGAATTGTTCTGTCCCAGTGGATAACTGAACATGTACAAAATTCGTGTACTTTGTAACATCGCCGAATCAGATATATTTATCTAAGACATGTTCCATGTAAAAAATGAGGTCGTATTGGAGCTCCAGTGTTGACTTAAAAACGTTCTGAGATAGTCGTAAACAGGTGGCAGTATATTGGTTGTTTATAACATTAAAATGCGATCACTTGTTTAGTTTCTGGGATACACCGTTAATTTTTTCATGTATACACTTTGCAAATGTGCTGTTAGTGTTTGTGTGTTGGAGGGGGGGAGGGTAAATATTCAGAAAAACAGAGATTCTTCTTGTGTTTACGACTGACCTAGGAGAATCAGATAAAAATGCTAAGCTGAACAACAGTCCCACCAGACTCTTTAATATGTGTTGTGTCATTAAGGTTCCATTATGTATTCATCGGACCATACGTCTTGTTACAGGTGTTATATTACGACCAATCATTGTACTGTGCTGCTGTGCATGGATAACACCGTTGAAGGTTGTCTGAGGCAACCATGCGTAATGCCCCTTTACACTGGACGGCGTCCTTTCTGCGCCCTCTCTGCCACCATGAAATTGGTATCGCTGTGGTTTCAATAAGGAGACACGAGTATTGATTTGTTTTAGAAAGAATGCTCAATGATCGGCCAGTTGTCGGCACGTAAAGTATTATTATTTTTTAACTCTCAAATGGAGCCGTACTGCTGAACGCAGAAAGGACGCCGTCCAGTGTGAAGGGGGTTTAAACAACATTTAGGCGTTAAGTTGTTACTCTTTTGCTGACATTATTGTCACTGAAATCACAAGGTACCAAGGTTAAAACGTCTATTTAAATTTTCAACGAACCGTCTTGTCTGCATTGTACGGGGGACAGCCACAATGTCAGCCAGCGAGCCATATCCCGAGTTTTGGGTCCGCAAAATGCACTCACCTTTTGTAATGTTGGACCACGACTTGGACGGCGTTGTCAAAAACAAATATTTTGTTGACTTTTCCATCGCTAAAGCATAGCGTCTTCTTAAGCAAAAACAACTGCAAACGTTTAAGGACAAAATAAAAAAACGTCCGGAGAAGAAAGTGATTGTTACTTTTTGGGACTGTGTCCACAACCACGCACGCACTTTTGGCGAACCAGCTTTTCAAGAAAAGGAGAAAAAGTGGTTCTATGTCTATTTCGACAAAATCGCAGACAAAAATGGTGACGGTATTGTGACCAGAAAGGAATATGAAGAGTTTCTGGGCCTTTTTGGCGTACACCCGCTATCTGTGCCTCCGTCGTTTGAAGCCTTGGATACAGATGGTGATGGTCAGATCAGCAAAGAAGAATTCGCAAATGCTGCCGTAGGTTTCTTCTGCTGCACTGCAGACACCCCGGCAAAGTTATTTTGGGGTCCGTTCTTGGCTTAAATCCCCTATGGAAACTGTAAATAATATGCTTTACCTATAAGGCAATCACGGTCTAGGACTTTCTTGTTTACAAGACGCTTTACATTTCAAGAAGACGCGCACCAACGCCCACAGTTCTGATGACGGGATAATGGTGTGTAGTACGTCACAATTGAATCCATACTTTTGTTCATTTTGTTCATTTTCACCTTGTCAAGGACAGCTTTTCACCTGTCCAAGGAACTTTTGAATTGTTCAAAGGTGTATTCATTTGCGAACTGTATACTGGTGTCAAGATAGTACAATGCATTGCAGCGCACCAAGATCACTTCCGAGTAAAGCTCTTCAATTAGGGGAAAATTTCAAATACGCCTTGTAAACACCGCCAGCTTGCTGCTTCGCGATGCTTTATATGAACTGCTGTGTTCAGAAAAAGTATAATAATAAAAATAAATATACGGATATAAGAAGGAAAAAAATTGATCATTTTATGATTGGTGTGTTGCTGAATGCTATGTGGAAGAACTTGTATCTCCTACAACCAGTTTTAATATCCGGCTGTTTAACGACATCACGATCGACTCGAAGAAAGCGGTACATTTACTTCAATCAACAGCTAGTATTGAAGCACAACGGATGAACTTCTTTTCTGCCCTACAACAATTACAGTTTGTTGGAATACAACTCCTCTTCAAGTATATACAGCCACATTGCATTTATTCTGAACTACTGCATTTTAGTTTTTTACAAAACAATTATATTTAGATCCAGAGATACATGTAACATTCTGTAACACATATGTATTTATGTGGGATTTCCATCTGTGCCCTCAATCTATGCCCCCCCCCTACTTGGACGATTTTCCGATTTTCTGGCATTCAATCTTAGTATTTTATTGAACATGTAAACAAAATGCGTGTAATATGTAACATTACCGGATCGGATCAATTTATCTCTGACCTGTGTAATATGCCCTGTGTTGACCTTACAATGTTCTGAGATAGTCGTAAACAGGTAGCAGTTTATTGATCGTTTATAACATAAAACTGCCATCAATTGTTTCGTTCCCGGAATACCGTGTATTTTTCACACTTTGCACACATGTAGTGGGGGTTAGTGGTGGGGGTGAGGTGGGGGACTAAATGTTTAGAAAAAAGAGACAGGTGCTTCTTGTGATTATGACTCACCTGGAAGAATCAGATAAAAATGAGATGCTAAGCTAGACCTCAGTCTTTAACATGTGTTGTCTCATTATGTGTTTCATTATGTATTCATCGGATCATACGTCTTGTTACAGGTGTTACGTTATCACCAACTATTGTATTGTGCCGCTTTGCATAAATAGCGTTTTTGAAGTTGTCTTGGGGAGCCGTGCGTAAACAAAATAACATAAAGACTCTTTTGTTGCTGTTATTATTGTAATAATCACAAGGTACCAAAGTAAAAAAACGTCTTTCTAAATTCTCAACGAGCCGTCTGGTGTGCTGAATACGGAAAATATACACAATGTCAGTAAGCGCGCCATATCCCGAGTTTTGGGTCCGGAAAATTCGCTCATTTTTTGTAATGTTCGATCACGACTTGGATGGCGTTGTCAAAAAGGAAAATGTGATTGACTTTTGCAATCTTAGGGCAAAGTCTCTCCTTAATCAAGAACAAATGGAAACGTATATGGACCTAGTGAACTATGCTTGGGATTATTTCTGGGCCGGTCCGGAGAAGAAAGTGAATGTTACTTTTTGGGACTGTGTCCACAACTACGCACGCACCTTTCGCCAACCAGCTTTTCAAGAGGAGCAGAGAAAGTGGTTCTATGTCTATTTTGACAAAATCGCAGACAAAAATGGAGACGGCATTCTGACCAGAAAGGAATATGAAGAGTTTCTTGGTCTTGTTGGCGTACACCCGTTGTCCGTTCCTCCGTCGTTTGAGGCCTTGGACACAGATGGTGATGGTCAGATCAGCAAAGAAGAATTCGCAAATGCTGCCGTAGGTTTCTTCTGCTGCACTGCAGACACCCCGGCAAAGTTATTTTGGGGTCCGTTTTTGGCTTAAATCCTTCAATCCTATGGAAGCTGTGAATAAATTGCTTCACCTGCGGGGCAATTACGATCTAGGGCTTCCTTGTTAAAAATGCGTTTTACATTTCAAGGAGACTGTGGTACCAGTGCTGGGCAGTATTTTTGTTAGAATGCTACACATACAAAGTGATGGGAAACGGACTACGGTTCTCAGCGGACTCCCATTCCTGTAACACCGGGCCAGAGAAATTTGACCGTTTATCCCAGACCTGTTCTGTTTGATAAAATTGATCGTAAAGAACTTCCTGTATAGTCCTTAAAGTATTCTGAAACATACTAAAAGAAATTTTGGTATCTTGGCTGTTTATGACATTAAAATGCATTTAATTGTCTCTATTAAGGAGGACCCAATGTGCTATACTGTTCATTCTTTGGAGTATAAAGGGGAGGGGGAGAATGGGAAATGGTGCTCAATATTTTAAAAAATGGAGGAAAGGGGAATGATTTTATGTTTAAGTTATAATGAATGACTTCGGATATAAAATGAAGATGCTTAACTGTAAATCTCTTTCACCAGTCTCAGTAGCGCATCTCATATTCATTGGGTCATACTTCTTGTTACAGGTATATTGCACTTTGCATACATAGTAGCACCATTGAAGGTTGTCTGAGGCAGCCGTGCGTAAATGAAATGACATTAAAACGTTCAGTGTGTTACTCTTTTGCTGACATTATTATCATTAAAATCACAAGGTACAAAGGTCATAACGTCTATTTAAATTTTCAACAAACCGTCTTGACTCCGGTGTACATGAGGCAACCGCAATGTCAGCAAGCGCGCCATATCCCGAGTTTTGGGTCCGCAAACTGCGCTCAGTTTTTGTAATGTTCGACCATGACTTGGACGGCATTGTCAGAAAGAAAGATTTTGTAGACTTTTGCATCGCTAGAGCTAAGTGTCTCCTCAAACAAGAAAGAATGCAAACGTTTGAGGACCAAATTCACAACGCTTGGGATTATTTCTGGGCCGGCCCCGAGAAGAAAGTGAATGTTACACTTGGGGACTATATCTACAACCACGCACGCACTTTTCGCGAACCAGTTTTTCAAAGAGAGCAGAGAAAGTGGTTCTCTGTCTATTTTGACACAATCGCAGACAAAAATGGTGACGGTATTGTGACCAGAAAGGAATATGAAGAGTTCCTAGGTCTTGTTGGCGTGCACCCGTTATCCGTCCCTCCATCGTTTGAGGCCTTGGACACAGATGGTGATGGTCAGATCAGCAAAGAAGAATTCGCAAATGCTGCCGTTGGATTCTTCTGCTGCACTGCAGACACCCCGGCAAAGTTGTTTTGGGGTCCGTTCTTGGCTTAAATCCCTTAATTGTATGGGGACTGTACATAATTTGCTTTACCTATCGGACAATCACGATTTACTTTAGTACTTTCTGTTAAAAAGACACTACATTTCAAGAAACGCACACGAACGCCTGCGATAGGCCTACTGGTGATGCGATAACCCCCTCTCACCAGTCTCTGTAGCGCATCACATATTCACCGGATAATACGTCTTGTTACATGTATATTGCACTGTGCCACTTTGCATGCATAGCACCGTTGAAGGTTGTCTGAGGCAGCCGTGCGTAAATGAAATGACATTAAGACGTTCAGTGTGTTACTCTTTTGCTGACATTATTGTCATTATAATCACAAGGTACCAAGGTTGAAACGTCAATTTTAATTTTTGACGAACCGTCTAGTCTGCAATATACGGGAGATGGCCGAAATGTCAGCCAGCACCCCATATCCCGAGTTTTGGGTCCGCAAAATGCGCTCATTTTTTGTACTGTTCGATCACGATTTCGACGGCGTTGTCAAAAAGGAAGAAATGATGGACTTTTGCAAGGGTAGAGCAAAATGTCTTCTTAATCAAGAACAGATGGAAAAGTACATGGACCAAGTGAACTACGCTTGGGAATATTTCTGGGCCGGTCCGGAGAAGAAAGTGAACGTTACTTTTTGGGACTGTGTCCACAACCACGCCCGCACTTTTCGAGAACCAGAATTTCAAAAAGAGGAGAAAAAGTGGTTCTATGTCTATTTTGACAAAATCGCAGACAAAAATGGTGACGGTATTGTGACCAGAAAGGAATATGAAGAGTTCCTAGGTCTTGTTGGCGTGCACCCGTTATCCGTCCCTCCATCGTTTGAGGCCTTGGACACAGATGGTGATGGTCAGATCAGCAAAGAAGAGTTTGTGAATGCTGCCGTAGATTTCTTCTGCTGTACTGCAGACACCCCAGCAAAGTTGTTTTTTGGTCCGTTCTTGGCTTAAATCCCCTGATCATGTGGAAACCGTCAATAATATGCTTTACCTGCATGGTAATCGCTATCTAGAACTGTCATGTTAAATATGAGTTTACTTTTCAAGAACACTGTGGTGCTTGTTGTGTGCAGTATTGGGGTTAGAATGCCACACGTATAAAGTGATGGGAAACGGACTACGGTTCCTAGCGGACTACCATTCTTGTCACTCCGGACCAGAGAGATTTGACAGTTTATCTCAGACCTGTTCTGTGTAACAAAATTGGACGTGAAGAACTTCAAGTTTTGTCTTTAAAATGTTCTGAAATTTACTTACATTTCAGTACCTTGGTTGTTTATGACATTAAAATGCGTTTAATTGTTTCTGTTAAGAAGGACCCAATTTGTTATACATTCTTTTGAGGTTTAGGGGGAGGGGAGGATGGGAAAAGGAGCTAGATATTTTTAAAAATGGCTCAGCAAAAAGGGGGTGTCATCTTATGTTTTAGTTAAAATGAATGACCTCGGATATAAAATGTAGATGTTAAGCTGTAACTCTCTCTCACCAGCTTCTGTAGCGCATCACATATTCACCGGATAATACGTCTTGTTACAGGTATATTGCACTGTGCCGCTTGACATGCATAGCACCGTTGAAGGTTGTCTGAGGCAGCCGTGCGTTAATGAAATGACATTAGGACGTTCAGTGTATTATTCTTCTGTTGACATTGTTATCATTAAAATCACAAGGTACCTAGATTAAAACGTCCATTTGGATTTTCAACGAACCGTCTTGTCTGCAGTATACGGGCGACATATGTAATGCCAGCCAGGGCGCCATATCCTGAGTTTTGGGTCCGTAAAATTCGCTCAGTTTTTGTGATGTTCGACCACGACTTGGACGGCGTTGTCAAAAGGAAAGATTTTGTGGATTTTTGCATCGCTAGAGCAAAGTGTCTTCTCAAACAAGAACAACTGCAAACGTTTAAGGACCAAATTAAAAACGCTTGGGATTATTTCTGGGCCGGTCCGGAGAAGATAGAGAATGTTACACTTAGGGATTATATCTACAACCATGCTCGCACTTTTCGCGAACCAGATTTTCAAGATGAGCAGAGAAAGTGGTTCTGTGTCTATTTTGACAAAATCGCAGACAAAAATGGTCGAGGTCATGTGACCAGAAAGGAATATGAAGAGTTTCTTGGTCTTGTTGGCGTACATCCGCTATCTGTTCCTCCGTCGTTTGAGGCCTTGGACACAGATGGTGATGGTCAGACCAGCAAAGAGGAGTTCGCAAATGCTGCCGTCGGTTTTTTTCTGCTGTACTGCAGAAACCCCGGCAAAGTTGTTTTGGGGTCTTTTCTTGGCTTAAATCCCCCAGTCATATGAAAACTGTATATAATATGCTTTACCTGTGTGGCAATCGCTAACTAGGACTTTCATGTTTAAAAGACGTTTTACTTTTGAAGCAGACTGTGGTACCAGTGCTGTGCAGTATTGGGGTTAGAATGCCACACGTACAAAGTTATGGGGATCAGACTACGGTTCCCAGTGGACTACCATTCCTGTCACATCGGGCCAGAGAAATTCGATCGTTTATCTCAGACCTTATCGTACAGGTCGTATAGAACTTCCAGTATTGTCTTTAAAATGTTCTGAGATTAACGTAAATTTTAGTACCTTGGTTGTTTACGACATTAAAATGCGTTTAATTGTTTCTGTTAAGAAGGACCCAATTTGTTATACATTCTTTGCAGGTTTAGGGGCAGGGGGTAGGATGGGCAAAGGAGCTAAATATTAAAAAAAAATGACACAGCGAGAAGGGGTTGTCATTTTATGTTTTACTTATAATGAATGACCTAGGATATAAAATGGAGATGTTAAGCTTAACTCCCTCTCACCAGTCTCCGTAGCGTGTCACATATTCACCGGGTCATACGTCTTGTTACAGGTACCTTGCACTGTGCATGCATAGCACCGTTGAAGGTTGTCTGAGGCAGCCGTGCGTATATGAAATGACATTAAGACGTTAAGTGTGTTACTCTTTTGCTGACATTAAAGTAATTAAAACCACATGGTACCAAGGTTTAAACGTCTATTTAAATTTTCAACGAACCGTCTTGTCTACAGTATACGGGAGACATCCACAATGTCAGCAAGCGCGCCATATCCCGAATTCTGGGTCCGCAAAATGCGCTCAGTTTTTGTAATGTTCGACCACGACTTGGACGGCGTTGTCCAAAAGAATGATTTTGTAGACATTTGCATCGCTAGAGCTAAGTGTCTTCTCAAATAAGAACAAATGGAAACGTATGTGGGTCTAATGAACAGCGGCTGGGATTATTCCTGGGCCGGTCCAGAGAAGAAAGTGAATGTTACACTTAGGGATTATATCTATAACCACGCACGCACCTTTCGCGAACCAGCTTTTCAAGAAGAGCAGAGAAAGTGGTTCCATGTCTATTTTGACAAAATCGCAGACAAAAATGGCCACGGTCATTTGACCCAAAAGGATTATGAAGAGTTCCTTGGCCTTTTTGGCGTTCACCCGTTATCCGTTCCTCCGTCTTTTGACGCCTTGGACACTGATGGTGATGGTCTGATCAGCAAAGAAGAGTTCGCAAATGCCGGCGTTGATTTCTTCTGCTGCATTGCAGACACCCCGACAAAGATGTTTTTTGGTCCGTTTTTGGCTTAATACCATAATCATATGGAAACTGTAAATAATATGCTTTACTTGTGTGGCAATAACGATCTGGGACTTTCTTGTTGAAAATACACTACATTTCGAGAAAACGCGCACCAACGCCTGCGGTACTGGAAATGCGATAATGGTGTGTAGTAAGTCACATCTGCATTCACGCTTTTGTTCATTTTGTTCATTCTTAACTTTTCAGGGGCAGCTTTTCAATAAGGTTTTCACCTGGTCTCGGAACTTTAAAATTGTTCAAGGTTTGCATTCGTTTGCGTACTGTATGCTGGTGTCAAGATAGGATAATAATACATTGCAGTGAACCTTGACCTCTTCCGAGCAGAGCTTTTGAATTAGTAGAAGATTACAGACATCCCGTCTAACCACCTCCATCTTGCTGCTTCCTGAAGCTGCTTTATTTGAACTGCTGTGTTCAGAAAAAGTATAACAAATTAAATTAATATTAGGAAATAAGAAGGAAAATATTGTGAAACTGATCATTTTATGACTAGTGTGTAGAAGAAACTGTATGCTTCAAAAAAAAAAGTTTTCATATTCGGCTTTATAGAGTTATCACGATCGATTTGAAGAAAGCGGTATTTTTTACTTACAGTCACATCCTTAGTTTCATTCTTTATAATATCATGGCAATCATGTGGAATAAAATCGTCCTCACATTTTGGTTGCATTGACTCATCCTTTATGCATTATAATTCAATGAAATTTAGCTCAATATTACTTCATACCATGACTTGTCTCTCCCAAGAACAATATTTTCCTCTTTTGCATGTGAAAGTGAAAGATTCCTATGGTGATTAAGTATTTAAATGGGATTTTCATCTGTGTCCTCTTGGCTTAAATCCCCCAATCATATGGAAACTGTAAATAACATGCTGAATTGTGTGACAATCACGATCTAGGACTTGCTTGTTGAAAGACGCTTTAGAATTCAAGAATCCTGTGGTACCAGTGCTGTGCAGTATTGGCGTCAGAATGCCACACGTACAATGAGATAGGGAACGGACTACGGTTCCCAGCGGACTACCATTCCTGTCACACCAAGCCAGAGAAATTTGACCGTTTATCTCAGACCTGTTCTATGTGACAAATTGGTCTTACATGTACAGAACTTCCAGTAGTGTCCTTAAATGTTCTGAGATTTACTTACAGAAATTTTAGTATCTTACTTGTTTATGACATTAAAACACGTTCAATTGTTTCTGTTAAGGAAGGCCCAATTTGTTATACATTCTTTGCAGCTTAAGGGGGGGGGGGGAGGATGGGAAAAGGAGCTTAATATATTTTTTAATGACACTGAGAGAATTTGGGTGCCACTTAATGTTTCTTGTTACTATAAATGACCTGGGATTTAAAAGGGAGACGCTAGGCTGCAACTCAGTCTAACCAGTGTCTTAAGCGCATCACGTATTCATCGGATCATGCGTCATGTTACAGGTATATTGGACTGTACCGCTTTGCATGCATAACACCGTTGAAAGTTGTCTAAGGCAGTCATACGTAAATGAAAGGACACTATGACGTTAAGCTTGTTACCCTTTTGCTGACATTATAATCATTAAAACCACAAGGTACCATGGTTTAAACGTCTATTTAAATTTAATTTTCAACGAACCGTCTTGTCTGCAGCACACGGGAGACATCCACAATGTCAGCAAGCGCCCCATATCCCGAGTTTTGGGTCCGCAAAATGCGCTCATTTTTTGTAAAGTTCGACCACGACTTGGATGGCGTTGTCAAAAAGGAAGATGTGATGGACTTTTGCAATGTTAGGGCAAAGTCTCTCCTCAATCAAGAACAAATGGAAACGTATATGGACCAAGTGAACTACGCTTGGGATTATTTCTGGGCCGGTCCGGAGAAGAAAATGAGTGTTACTTTTTGGGACTTTGTCCGCAACCACGCACGCAATTTTCGCGAACCAGATTTTCAAGAAGAGGAGAAAATGTGGTTCTGTGTCTATTTTGACAAAATCGCAGACAAAAATGGCGACGGTATTGTGACCAGAAAGGAATATGAAGAGTTCCTTGGTCTTGTTGGCGTACACCCGCTATCCGTTCCTCCATCATTTGATGCCTTGGACACAGATGGTGATGGTCAGATAAGCAAAGAGGAGTTCGTAAATGCTGCCGTCGGTTTCTTCTGCTGCACTGCAGACACCCCGGCAAAGTTGTTTTGGGGTCCGTTCTTGGCTTAAATATCCTTATCATATGGAAACTATAAATAATATGCTTTGCCTATAGGGGAATCACGAGCTGGAACTTTCTTGTTGAAAAGACGCTTTACATTTAAAGAAGATGCGCACGAACGCTTGCAGTATTGATGACGGAATAACGATGTGTTGTCAGTCACAATTGAATTCATGCTTTGTTCATTTTGTTCATGTTCACCTTGTCAATAACAACTTTTCAATCTGGCTTTCACCTACCCTCAGAACTTTTATATTGTTCGAAGGTTGCATTCGTTTGCATATACATGTAATACATTACAGCGCACAAAGATCTCTTCCGAGTCTAGCTGTTAAATAAGTGGGAAATTACAAGTACCCCTTGTAAACACCGCCAGCTTGATGCTTCACGACGCTTCTTTATATGAGCTGGCCAGTGTGTTCAGAAAAAGTATAATAATTAAATGAATATAAGGAAAAAAGAAGGAAAATATTGTGAAACAGATCATTTTATGACTAGTGGAAGAAACTGTATGCTCCAATAAATCAGTTTTTATATTTGTTGTGACCAGAAAGGAATATGAAGAGTTCCTTGGTCTTGTTGGCGTACACCCGCTATCCGTTCCTCCATCATTTGATGCCTTGGATACAGATGGTGATGGTCAGATCAGTAAAGAGGAGTTCGCAAATGCTGCCGTCGGTTTTTTCTGCTGTACTGCCGACACCCCGGCAAAGTTATTTTGGGGTCCGTTCTTGGCTTAAATCTCCTGATCATACGGAAACTGTAAATAATATTCTTTACCTGTGTTGCAATCGATATCTAGGACTTTCATGTTAAAAAGACTTTTCAAGAACATTGCTTTACAACATTTACATTTTGTTGGAATACAACTCCTCCATTACTACAACTATATACAGTTACATTGCTTTTATTCTCAACTACTGCATTTTAGTGATTTACATAAAAATATATTTAGATCCAGAGATAACATGCTGTAACACATATGTTATTAAAGGATTTGCGTAATACCGTCAGAATGGCCTGAACGGAACATATTCTTCAGAAAACATGCCCAACTAAAGATATCTTTATCCAAATACACAATTTAAAAGCTCATTTTGTAAATTTTTGGATTTAAAAAACGTCCTATTTGCTCGGCCTGGGTGTTAATGAGCTACGTGGTCACGTGGTCCGATGACGACAATCGTGCCACCGGAGAACAGAGCGTGCTTAGCTGTCAAACTGAGCTGCATTGTCTACCCGTAAGATGACTTCTCTGGCTTCTGATAAAAGTTTATACTCATTCAAATCTCTTACCCGAGGGTTCTAAATCCTCGTGAAGCTGTGTAAAACTATTTCCCGTCTAGTCAATTCTTTAACAAGCATTTAATTATGGTTATCCCAAGTTGTATAAAACACTGCATTTGAATGAGTTAAGGGTACTGTTGTTTATTGCATATGAGGTCCATGTTATTTGTGAAATTCAATAAATTTTATTAAACCGCTGACACTCCGTCTTGCATACTTTTATTAAACTGAGGTGAACAATGCCCGTTACCTTTACAAGTCCTATCTTAACTGGAACTTCCTTTACCTCTTAATTAGAGGGTTAAATGGCATTCAATTCTCCTTCAAACGCACTCTCGCAGGCGATATTTATCTCAGGTAAAAATCTACCTGTGCGTTAGTTTCAAAGAGCAGCTCCCGCAGACCTGGGGGTACTAGATAAAATCTGAACACCAGGTTTATCGAGGAGCTAGAGAAACAAAGGAAATTTTTTTCCTGCACGGCTTCATAGGAATTTTAACATGGACTTGATCCAGCTTAGACCTCCAAACTAACAGGGTGACATGAGCAATTTTCACAAACAAATAAAATAATATATATATTTCAGTTAGCCTCCTTTTAAATAAATATACAGTTCTGGGTAAATTAGAATATTTATTAAATCGCTAGAATATTTTTGATTTAATTATTTATTATTAATGGAAATTAAGCTACTATATGAGGTACATTTGCTGTGATTACGCTGTCCTTCATGTTTTGCGTTAGTCTACATTTTGCTGTACGTGCTTGTAATTTTTTTAATCTGTGCGTACAACTTTTGCAGGTCTGGTTACGCCTCTGTTATATGATGAAAGTCTAAATTTGGCAATTAGTTCCTTAGCTTATTTAAATAGAATTGCAGTGTAAAAATTTCAACAAGATGTTGGCGCAATAGCCCTTTACTCTTTGTGGATATTTCCCCCGTCAAAGTTTGTCTATTTGTCTAAAATTATCTTTCAATCTTTACTCTTTCAAGGACAGTATAAAGTTATCTGACATATTTTCGTGAAAGCCAAGGGTCTCCAGTTCATTCCGTACTCAATTTTAGCCAAGCAAATTTTTCTTGAGTAGATCTTTATAGCACGGTTTTATAATACAATTTTTCAAAGAGGGGATTTAAATCAATATATTAAAAAATGTAGCTTCATACTTAAAAGAATTGGGTATCTCCCGCTTTTCATAATATACTAAGTTATATACATGTACAATGAACTAAGTTATCAGTTGTGCTCAGTTTTTACACCCAACATTCACCGTTTGTGGCTTTCTTATATCCCTTACCAGGTTAGATCTCCATGCATAATTTAAAATATACTAACGAACGTAAAACTGCACATTTAGTAAACACATTAAATTAATGATTTTTTCCATGCTACCAGTAGCAAACAGTGTTCTTTTACCTTGATCTGCTACATGTTTTTGGGTTTGACAAAGCTTACAAATCTGCAAAAAGTTTTGCGTACAGACGCAGAACTTGCGTTTCAGAGCAATTTCTTTTATTAATGATCACGACCGTGTTTGATCTTAATTGTTTAAATATTGATATTTAACGTCATTTACAAATATCAATAAAATAACCCCATGAAATAAATGAGATATATTGAAAAATATGAAAGCCCACCAAGACGAGTTTGATACCTGTTATTACCTGGCTTGGGAATTGCAGCAGTGCATAATTAACAGGTTTTATTGTTAACGAGCTCTTGGTCAACTACAATGCATTTAAAATGCATCAGCAATTAGTAAGCTTGTCAACTGATGACAGTTAATCTAAAAGACTATCAGCTTTTGATATGATCTAAAACACCTGAGTTGACCGAGATCGCGAGCATCGCAACTATTGTAACCGAAGTTAGTACCTTGTACATGTAAGTCACGGAAGACCGTCACAGACAAAGAAAGATTGTCAAGGAGTGCTGCAATTTTGGTGAATCCTACGACAACACACTGAGGCATGTTTTTCCACACTTTGCACGCGTGCAGTGTGTGTGTGGGGGGGGGGGGGCTAAATATAAAAAAAGGGACAGATGCTTTTTTTGATTTTGACTCACAGGGGAGAATCAGATAAAAATGAGATGCTAAGCTGCACAACAGTCCCACTGGGCTCTTTAACATGTGTTGTTTCACTTAGGTTTCATTATGTATTCATCGGATCATACGTCTTGTTACAGGTGTTACGTTGCGACCAACCATTGAACTATACCGCATTGCATGCATGGCGCTATGAAAGTTTTCTGAGGGAGCCGTGCGTAAACAAAATAACATAAAGACTTTCAGTGTGTTACTCTTTTGTTGATGTTTTTTATTGTAATAATCACAAGGTACCGAGGTAATAATGTCTTTTTAAATTTCACAATGATCCGTCTAAGTCGGTGTAAAAGATAAATCTACAATGTCAGCAAGCGCGCCATATCCCGAGTTCTGGGTCCGCAAGATGCGCTCAATTTTTGTAATGTTCGACCACGACTTGGACGGCGTTGTCAAGAAGGAAGATATGGTGGACTTTTGCGAGTCCAGAGCTAAATGGCTTCTCAAACAAGAACAAATGCACGCCTATATGGACCTAGTAAAACACGCTTGGGATTATTTTTGGGCCGGACCGGAGAAGAAAGAGAACGTTACTCTTAAGGACTATATCTACAACCAAGCACGCACTTTTCGCGAACCAACTGTTCAAGAAGAGGGGGAAAAGTGGTTCCATGTCTATTTTGACAAAATCGCAGACAAAAATGGCGACGGTATTGTGACCAGAAAGGAATATGAAGAGTTCCTTGGCCTTTTTGGCGTACATCCGCTATCTGTCCCTCCATCGTTTGAGGCCTTGGACACAGATGGTGATGGTCATATCAGCAAAGAGGAGTTCGTAAATGCTGCCGTAGGTTTCTTCTGCTGCACTGCAGACACCCCGGCAAAGTTGTTTTGGGGTCCGTTCTTGGCTGAAATATCCTTATCATATAGAAACTGTAAATAATATGCTTTGCCTATAGGGGAATCACGAACTGGAACTTTCTTGTTGAAAAGACGCTTTACATTTCAAGAAGATGCGCACGAACGCTTGCAGTATTGATGACGGCATAATGATGTGTTGTCAGTCACAATTGAAGTCATGGTTCGATCATTTTTTTCATCTTCACCTTGTCAATAACAGCTTTTCAATCTGGCTTTCACCTACCCCCAGATTTTTTATATTGTTCGAAGGTTGCATCCGTTTGCATATAAGACATTACAGCGCACAAAGATCTCTTCAGAGTCTAGCTGTTAAATAAGTGGGAGATTACAAGTACCCCTTGTAAACACTGCCAGCTTGATGCTTCACGACACTTCTTTATATGAACTGGCCAGTGTGTTCAGAAAAAGTATAATAATTAAATGAATATAAGGAAATAAGAAGGAAAATATTGTGAAACAGATCATTTTATGACTAGTGGAAAAAACTGCATGCTCCAATAAATCAGTTTTTATATTTGTTGTGACCAGAAAGGAATATGAAGAGTCCCTTGGTCTTGTTGGCGTACACCCGCTATCCGTTCCTCCATCATTTGATGCCTTAGAGTTTGTAAATGCTGCCGTTGGTTTCTTCTGCTGCACTGCAGACACCCCGGCAAAGTTATTTTGGGGTCCGATCTTGGCTTAAATCCCCTGATCATACGGAAACTAAAATATTATGCTTATCCTATAGGGCAAACATGATCTGGGAATTTATTTAGGAAAAGACGTTTTACATTTCAAGAAGACGCTAACGGACCCCTGTTGTGATAAAACCATGGTGTGCTATTAGTCACAACTGAATTCATGCTTTTGTTCGTGCTTCATTTTTTTTCTGGTCAAGGACATCATTTCAAGTAAAATAGCACCCCAAACTTATGAATTAACCAATAAAAGCTTTCATTTGCGCCTTGTATATTAAACAGTATAATACAGGTTGTAGNCAAAATGCGTTGCAGTTGCAAAATGCGTTCAGTTGCAAAATGCGGCTCTACTTAGTAGGACCGCATTTTGCAACTGAACGTATTTTGCAACCGGTTGCAAAATGCGGTCGGTTGCAAAATGCGGCTCTACACCGTCACAGACAAAGAAATATTGTCAAGGAGTGCTGCAATTTTGGTGAATCCCACGACAACACACTGAGACATGTTTTTCCACACTTTGCACGCGTGCAGTGTGTGTGTGTGTGGGGGGGGGGCTAAATATAAAAAAAGGGACAGATGCTTTTTTTGATTTTGACTCACAGGGGAGAATCAGATAAAAATGAGATGCTAAGCTGCACAACAGTCCCACTGGGCTCTTTAACATGTGTTGTTTCACTTAGGTTTCATTATGTATTCATCGGATCATACGTCTTGTTACAGGTGTTACGTTGCGACCAACCATTGAACTATACCGCATTGCATGCATGGCGCTATGAAAGTTTTCTGAGGGAGCCGTGCGTAAACAAAATAACATAAAGACTTTCAGTGTGTTGCTCTTTTGTTGATGTTTTTATTGTAATAATCACAAGGTACCGAGGTAATAATGTCTTTTTAAATTTCACAATGATCCGTCTAAGTCAGTGTAAAAGATAAATCTACAATGTCAGCAAGCGCGCCATATCCCGAGTTCTGGGTCCGCAAGATGCGCTCAATTTTTGTAATATTCGACCACGACTTGGACGGCGTTGTCAAGAAGGAAGATATGGTGGACTTTTGCGAGTCCAGAGCTAAATGGCTTCTCAAACAAGAACAAATGCAAGCCTATATGGACCTAGTAAAACACGCTTGGGATTATTTTTGGGCAGGACCGGAGAAGAAAGAGAATGTTACTCTTAAGGACTATATCTACAACCAAGCACGCACTTTTCGCGAACCAACTGTTCAAGAAGAGGGGAAAAAGTGGTTCCATGTCTATTTTGACAAAATCGCAGACAAAAATGGCGACGGTATTGTGACCAGAAAGGAATATGAAGAGTTCCTTGGCCTTTTTGGTGTACATCCGCTATCTGTCCCTCCGTCGTTTGAGGCCTTGGACACAGATGGTGATGGTCAGATCAGCAAAGAAGAGTTCGTAAATGCTGCCGTTGGTTTCTTCAGCTGCACTGCAGACACCCCGGCAAAGTTGTTTTGGGGTCCGTTCTTGGCTTAAATATCCTTATCATATGGAAACTGTAAATAATATGCTTTACCTATAGGGGAATCACGAGCTGGAACTTTCTTGTTGAAAAGACGCTTTACATTTCAAGAAGATGCGCACGAACGCTTGCAGTATTGATGACGGAATAATAATGTGTTGTCAGTCACAATTGAATTCATGCTTTGTTCATTTTGTTCATTTTCACCTTGTCAATAACAGCTTTTCAATCTGGCTTTCACCTACCCCCAGAACTTTTATATTGTTCGAAGGTTGCATTCGTTTGCATATAATACATTACAGCGCACAAAGATCTCTTCCGAGTCTAGCTGTTAAATAAGTGGGAGATTACAAGTACCCCTTGTAAACACCGCCAGCTTGATGCTTCACGACACTTCTTTATATGAACTGGCCAGTGTGTTCAGAAAAAGTATAATAATTAAATGAATATAAGGAAATAAGAAGGAAAATATTGTGAAACAGATCATTTTATGACCAGTGGAAGAATCTGTATGCTCCAATAAATCAGTTTTTATATTTGTTGTGACCAGAAAGGAATATGAAGAGTTCCTTGGTCTTGTTGGCGTACACCCGCTATCCGTTCCTCCATCATTTGATACCTTGGAGTTTGTAAATGCTGCCGTTGGATTCTTCTGCTGCACTGCAGACACCCCGGCAAAGTTACTTTGGGGTCCATTCTTGGCTTAAATCCCCTGATCATACGGAAACTGAAATATTATGCTTATCCTATAGGGCAAACATGATCTGGGAATTTATTTCGGAAAAGACGTTTTACATTTCAAGAAGACGTTAACGGACCCCTGTGGTGATAAAACCATGGTGTGCTATTAGTCACAACTGAATTCATACTTTTGTTTGTGCTTCATTTTTTTCTTGTCAAGGACATCATTTCAAGTAAAATAGCACCCCAAACTTATGAATTAACCAATAAAAGCTTTCATTTGCGCCTTGTATATTAAACAGTATAATACAGGTTGTTGGGAAAAAGGGTCAAAACCTCTTTTGTCACAAACTGAGTATAAACTTTCAAGCTTTTGATATTTACCATATACAACACCGATGGAACTTTCCGTACACTGTAGTGGGTTTATTGACAACTATCTGAATACGATAAACGCATTCGATATGCAGGCTTTATAAACCACTATAATTATAAGTGATTGCAAATGCATTGCATGTCCTAATTAACGCTGTTATTACTCTAGTGCAGTTTGAACTCTTCAATAATGACTGGCTTTGAAAGGACATGGACTGATTAGAATATACACTACATAAACTTAGGTTAATGTGCACATACTGACTTGGTGTTAAATGTTAATCACATGTAAGTACACCCATAAGACATTTTACCCTTTAAAAGGTGCCATGAGTCAATAACAGGGTGAAGGTGTGACTCTAATGCTGTGAATGCAATCAATTTTCTGCCTTTTTTCCACATACGAAACACAGTTGTTGTGTATGTAACCCGATAAAATAGGTTGGAAGGATGTGTTTTACTGTGAAGGTTCATATACCGGGAAACCATTACTGTCCACTGATTTAAACAGTCAAACTTGATCATCCTCAATTATTCTAATGATTTCAACGAGGAAGATATGAGCGCAACGAACTCGTTTGATGTGGTCGGAATGTCCCGTGTAAATATGCATTCTCAGAAGTTCCCATCCCGCGCACCATTAATGTGAGCAAAAACGAGCTCGATTCCAGAGTTATTTGGTTTGCATACAATAATCCTGGAGAAAGGTGATATTCATTTCGATACATGTTCACTGCTCACATACACCATTTATTTCCATATGCGGAGAAATATTCCCCATAATTCTATAGGCTGTAACCTATTCTGCATTTCGTCGCATGCATCATGATACACGGTGGACGAAAATATTTCCTCGTCTTCTTTTATTAACTACCTATAGACGTATTGATTCGTCATCCCACGAAAAAAGTAACATTTTTTCGTTTAAAAGGGATGTGTCTTTTCTTGTATTGTTTGCCTGAAACTACATCTTCTTTGTGTTTTGGGTTTTTCCAGAAAGATGCCGGATTGCCTTCGTTAAGCGTGCCATTTCTAAATACTCTTGAAACAGACGCAATATACTGTAGTGGAGATGACATGGAATAATTACCAGCAAAAGAGTTGCTTTTGTCACTCGTACTGTTCAAAGTGGTAGAGTTTAAATCCCCTACCGTGTCGCCATCTATCGTATTGCTTATACTCGGTGACGTCTTCCAGGGTCCGACCCCTTGCCCTCCCTCTGGCTGGACGTCTACATACACTTGATCAACTGTAATGCAAATTGAAAGAGTAAAGTGAGACAGATATAAAGAAACATAACATTTGAAGAGTTATGGAAACGAAGCAATTATGAAAACTGGACACGAGATAAGTTTGGGACCGGTCAAAAAAGGAAGAAGACCAAAGAAAAATGCATATCAACAATACTTGTTAGGCTTTCGTCACTTTTTCTCACTCTTAAATTTTTTTTCCAAAAATTAGTTACACAATAACATAGACTACTGAAAAGGAATACATGTATACTGTAGCAAGCAGAAATTAAACTCCAGTGTATTTATTCGTAAAGGGTACAAATACCACCATTTAGTTAGTTTTACGTTTCAGCCATAGAACAATTAAGTCGCAGAAAAAAATAATAAAAAAAAAGTTTCTTCCATTTTACATATTTACAATTGGTCATGTCATAAGTACCCAAATTGTGTCTTTAGAAAATTTGCTGTTTACTTATTCTCCACTCCAAGTTAGTACGAGTTTTAAGTGAACAAAAGAATATAAACAAAACAATATAAATATAAATGTAGTCTGGTTAATATTTGGGGTCAGCGAAAATACAACTTATTCGTGGCAAAATCAAATGGGCTTTCACTACCTCACCATGTTATAACAGCGGTAATCGGTATCAATGACAATATTATAAAACTATGACGTGGCTTATACGTATACTGGAATTACGAGAAATTGCAAAACTTTTAAAACGGGCAACCAGACCATTAGGTGTATGTGTTTTGTGTTTTGATAACATAACTGCAAACAATCAATAAAACAATCGATATTTCTTTCGTGGTGTGTAACGTGATCTTTCATAACTACCCTATTATTAGATGAATGGATATCCAGGTGATTAAAAAGCGGTCTGTTTCATTCCATCAATGGCTCCATTACATAGGAATGAGGGGAATCAATAAATGGCATGATCGTATAGTCAGATGCTTCTAAAAATAAAAATTGACGTGGGGTATTCGATAACAGTGATTTCAATCAGTCTTCTGTTTTAAAACAACAAATTTAGTTCGGAATAGCCGCCCCTGTCAAATACCGGAATTGGTATAATTCCCATTCTATAGACAGAACAAAATTATACTAAAGAGAATTACGGGATCCATTAATGTTATTGTGCAAGGGTAAACACGATCTGTTCTAGGTACTTTAAAATGGTGATTAATGTACATATGAACTTCATAGTCAAAGTAGAATTCAATAACAATGAGACAAAGATGAAAAACAAAGGTCTTTCGACATGTGTATAGGTAAAGAACGCTTGGAACAAGGCGTAGAAGTAGTCTGTATGGGAGCAGTTTTTTGACTTATCGTATGTCGCTGTTTAATTCATTCGGTTAATTCGGTTGAGAAATATTCGCATTTGACTGATTTGATTTAATAAACGAAAAATCTACATCATGAAGTAGTCGTAGGTAAAAAAAGAGTGGGTATTTTTATGCTTTGGGCCTATTTATCTGCTCTTAGGCAGGTGTCATTTCTTTACACTTACCCTCATTTTTATTACTGACAAGAAAAATAGAGGCTAAAACCTCTCCTGAAAACTCGATCGTTTCAGTGGATAGATTTATCAGTTTGACAACATATCTAAGCAATATCTGGGTTCATTCGCTCAATCTCAAATTAAATCTCCCTTTGCCTTTGATATTATTGATTTTGTGGTATTTTCGGTAATATTAGAGATGGTAGCCTACGCTTGGATAACGCAGTGTATAAGAGGCCAAATAATATTATATTAAAGTGTGAATTTGGCCAATTATTTTTTCGGAATTAGATGCACGCAGGTGTGAGCGTAGTTGTCCTTAGAATGAGGCGTAAGATAAGGTTAAAGCGTCACTTAAGTGAAACAGACAAATCGGACAAGTCATTACGCCTTCGAAGCAATGCTCTGGTACATTTTATGCCCCCCCCCCAAAAAAAAAAAAATGGGTGGGAGAATAATAAAATGCAATGCATCACAATCAATATTTTTCTGATTTCAAAACAAAACCTCTAAATATTTGCATGCATTAAGCCTAAAATTCCTTCTTTTTCATTAGTTAGCTAATTAAATTATTGCACGCCCAATTCTTACAAGTCTGATTCCACTGGCGTTAGTGTTCATGTACATTGTATATCTTTTCTAAATCTAGGAAAGAAATGATTCCCTGGTAGAGTGCGATTTTTGTTTGCTCTTGTGGAGAAAAATTTAATAGATTCAAAAAGACTGTTTCTTCTTTTTTACCTATGAGGCACGAATTTGATCACTCATCAAAAGAGTCAACTAAATCACATGATGAATGTAAGGTCAATACTACACACTTTATAGAAAAATATACGTCCAATATCTCAACATACGATTTCTCTGACCTGTATTTAGACTAATTTTTGCACATAGGGAATAAGCGACCGTTGAAAAGAATATATATGATATCTTGAGTCAAGATCATGATACATCGGTTTCTGGTAAAAATAAGAGACTCGTGTGGAGTCCAGTGAATCTTATTTGATAAAGTTATTGGGGATTTGGCGGAATGCATTTCGCGGCATACCGGTTTTTTAAAATAAGTGATGTTTAAACGCGTTATACCGTATACGTGTATTCCTGTGATGAAAATTCCTCAATTTAACAGCACGAAATAGTTTCAGAAAACATACTGACCTCAGGCTTAAATCAAGCTTAAATGTGAACATTTTTCAACCAAGTTTGTTAGTGTGTTTCTGTTTTTTTAATAACGCCACATTCAGTCATTAAAAAAGGCTGACGAGAAATGTCATCCTGTATAATGGCAGTTTCGTATAAACGCTGCACGAGAACCGCGTCGACGTGAGAGTGCGTCATTACTAGTATATTATTATATGATCCAGGGTAGGAAAATTGGTAAGATGAACTGCTGAGTGTTTAGACTACTTTACCAGCACAGCCAGAGCAGCATTTCCCCCGGGGAGAGGGAACACAAGGCACTGATGCTGAGCTAACACGTGCTGAACTTTTCTTAAATAACCCAACAACGTGAGGTTGAAGGGCCGCCATGTCTCCGTGGGAAGGTCCCGCAGCAAAACACGTGCTTCAAAAACATTCGTTTGATGGCACGTTGCGTCAAGCAGCGTTACAGCAACGCAAAATGGCACCAAAGCGTGCCAGAGTACCATTACTGAATTATACTAGTAGAAACCAGCGCAGCATGGCAGAGAAAGCATAAAAAGTAGGCTGTAGACTCCATTACGGAAATGGGATTCATAAGGACACAGTTAAAAGCAGGATTGCGCTAATGTTATAACATAAACTGCAATAACGGGAGCCCAGGGGATCGAAACGAAACCGGACTAAATATACACACAGTTCCTTTAATCAAACCTCGGTTGTAACTCGTCACAATATATAATTATTATCGGCGCAATTGAATCCTTATAGTGTTCATGCGTTGCAATAACTTTTGGAGAATTATATTTTAATTGCAAAGCGTTGAAGTGCGCATGTCCGGAACCTTGCCTCTCCTCTGCCAAAGATGTTATGCTTTGCTTTTTGTTTTGCTAGCCTAAATAAAAATGTTAAATTTGGTTTTTGATAAAAAAATTTAAAAAGTATTAACTGATTGATCAATTAGCTTTTTGTTTCAAGGAATTAAGCAATTAATAATAATTACTGACCAGCTTTGACGAAATTATGCGCTCTCTCAGTCAGTGATTTTCTAATATCAATTTAGTTTTGCTTAAGCAATATAGGTGCATTCATAAGTATGCTCTCTTATCACCCATCTTTAGAATGAGTAGATGTTTTGATTTTTTCATCGTTCAACAGACTGCACACTCACCTTTCCTGGAAGGTTGAGGGATACGTCTCTCTCTCTCTCTCTCTCTCTCTCTCGCAGGATCCGCCTTTGTTAGTTTAACGATACCCGCACCGCACAGGGGTTTGCCTATTGGGATTTCCCATGTGCTATACTTAAAATAGGGACTCGATACGAAAGGTTATATTTATAAAAGAGACAGTGCGTCAAATATATTAATTATGACACTAACGGAAATTGCTTTTACGTGTACAACACAAACATACCAGTGGCTAACCAAGAGCTTTAGTTTTTGCTCACCTTAAAACCGATGATTTTGTTTATCTTCTATAAACATAAACACAACCATGTCTAGCCAAGCAAAATAAAAAATCGTTATGCCTTGTCCTAAATCATTTGTTCCCATTATTAAACACGGGTTGTGTTTTTGCAACTGATCTGTTTGTGTATTGATGTGATGAATATTTCTAAATTTAACAGCTTTAAATAGTTTCAGAAAACATACTCATCTCAGGCTTAAATTATGAACATTTTTCATTTTCAACCGAGTTTGTTACTGTTTTTTTTTTCTTTTTTAATAGCGCTACATTCAGTCATAAAAAGGCGGACACGACCAGCAGACAAAAAAAATGCCCATCCTCTCACGTGACAACTAATCAGCTGGTTATAATTATTATTATTCTTACACTCTACTCCATAAGTATTATATATATAAGTATTCTCGTCCAACTGAATTAACAAGGCCCGCCATTTCGGAGATGATATATAAATATGGACATATATATTAGATTATATTAGATGGCATATGCCATCTTCAAATAGCCAATAAATATGCTTTACACATTGTGCTTTACGCACCAATAATTAGTATACAAGGTTGGGTATCGACCACCACATGCAGTGAGTCGTGGATTTTACGCCCCGCTGGGACGTGATCTACAATCCCATGCTCCTGACATTTAGCTTGAAAACTGTTCATTAAGGCGGCATGAATACCCAGGTACTAGGGAAATCACTTGCTGGGTTGTTTGGCTTGAAACTTAACAAAGCAAAGAGAGCGAACACGTGTTAATATGAAGATAAGGGGAAAGTGGAAGATTCTCGGAATGAAATGAACAAAACAGCATTGTGACGCATGTAAAGTATGACGTAATCCCTTAAGTGACGGAGTGTTAACACCAATTAGCAGCTTTTTCCTTCTAAACAATTAAATGTAATTAAA